CCTTTTGGAGCCATTTCTCACATTCTATAAATACCAAAGCACAAGAAGACACGGACTTTTGGCCAACACTAAATACAAGCTTACAAGTGAGATCTTTGAGTAGAAATATTCTTTGTTGGTTGTATAAGGGGTTGGGAAAGTTGGGTTGTGAGGTTGCTCAAGTGAAGGTTCCTCTCCAGAAGGAGTAAAATCTTGGTGAAGGTGAACCTATCACTTGGAGTGGTAAAACCTTGATAAAGGTTGCCTCACTTGTATAAAGTTGTTCTTAATTGAAAGGGTAAGCTTTCAATTGTAACTAGTTGAGGGTTTACTTGGAGAGTAGTAAAATTCCTTTACTCAACCAAAGTATGTTTGGGGTGAGGAAGGAGTGAGCCTTCACTTGTACAAGTTGGTTAGCACTACCATCACTTGAAGAAACTATTTGGTGGATTCAACTCCAAGTTTGGAAGGAGCTTGGGAGTTTGATTGGTTTGAATTTCTTTTACTTTATTGTTACTCTATTTTTGTGCTTTAAAATTGCTTATATTCTTTGTCATTGTATTTACTTGAATACTTGTCTGGTTGAGTATTTTTGGTTGTATTTGGTTGCATCGAGGCTTTCAATTTTGCATTTTGGAAATATAAGCTACTAACAGATGCAAGACTCAACAATTCAGAAATATCCTAGAAGTTGTGTACGAATCAGAATTGTTCACTTTAGTAAAGAAGCATTTTTCATGTGAGATTTTAAAGTAAATAAAACAGAATAACAAAACCGCTAAACAAAAATAGGTTACGGCACATAAGTTGCCATCTTCACAGACTATTAAATACAAATTTATACACAATACACATCAAGTAGTCAGGACAACCCATCATTTACAAGCACTAATAGGCCCCTAAAGAATTATAGAATGACAGGTTTGACAAACAAAGTAAGGAAAGGGGAAATGTATAAACAACAGATTATCCCAAAACTATATGCAAGCAAAGGAAAAGAAGAATTTTAAAAGATCCACAATATCATATAAAAAGAAACTGCATTTGATTGTGCAGGGAGCAAACAAAGAATGGAAGGTTGTTAGAAAACAAATTTAAGAAAATAAAATCAAGCTTCTAAATGCAGAAAGAATTCAGTTAAGATTTAAGAATATTATCGAATCAATTTGCCAAGTGGCCAAAAAGAAAGAGACAACACAAAATGTTGTGTTAACGATGCCAGGGAAAAATATGCATTTACATGTGAAAAAAAAAGCATAGATTTCAAGTAAAATGAGAAGGAAAAACCTGGAACAAGAATAGTAAGTTGGTATTAGAAATAAACCGACAAATTAAAATGATACAAATAACTAATTCTGAAAAACAAAATTACAGAACACGGAGAGGCAAGCCAAACCGGGAGGTTCAGAAACCTTCAAGATTTCTCAAGCCTAGGGTCAGAGACCTTGTTTCAGGATTTCCTGACTTGTTAGCAATTTTATACCTCAGAAATCATATACCCACCTTCCCTATCATTTAAAACTCCTCAACATTGTACACTTAAAAAAAAAATATATGCTTGTAGTAAGAAACCATTGATAATAAACCCAGCCGGGCCTCGTATGGTTCTACTTTGACCATCAAGTAATATCACTTACTTCAAAATTTTTCAATAGAAAAAAATTATACTCAAAGCAATTTAAACTACCAGTAATTTAAAGCAAATTATACTAACATAAGGATATTTGCAGTAAAACAAAATTCATAGTTGAAACTTAATTAATCAAAAGTGGATTTAACAGATAAAAACGGACACTGAGAGAGAGAGAGAGAGAGAACCCTTGGGTATGATATTCTGGGAAGCTTTCATTTTTCTCTATTGTAACCTTTCACTCCAAGCCTGCATATTTACCGTCAAATTCGCCTCTTAATTCTTCATTTATACCCTAACAATAACAAATAAACAAATGAAAACACAATAAATCAATTCATACAAATACATAAAACGACACTTCAAATTTTTCTGAAAGATCCTAGATCTCTTGGAGCATATTAGTTAACAAAAAAATACAAGAAAATAGAAAGTGACATTTTTTTCCCATCTCTTTCTCACCAAAAAAAAAAAAAACTACAAGTAGTCCTTAGGCAAGAAAAGGGGAAAAGGGGTTTCCTTTCTAAAGAGAAAGAGAGAAAAGTAAAAAACTCTGACTTTTGCTTCTCCAAATAACCCATATAAAACATCAAGACACGAGATGGGGTTCCAAAATTCTAACCATAGGATTTATGCAAAATCTTGACAGTAAGGGCTTCTTTGGATCCCAAACTCTAACCGGAAAGCTCTTTAACATATACATTCCAGAGGATTCCACTACCAGTTGCTAAAAAATCAGGTAATAACTTAGGAAGGAAATAGAAAAACAAAAGAGACGCACTTTATAAAAAAGGGAAAAAAGTTACACAAACTCACTCTCATCGAGATGCTGGATGCTAAAAGACACTTCCATTTTTTTGCACCTGCAACATCAAAGATATATACAAATTAATATATAAAAATTTGACTGCTAAACCCCCACACAAAAAAAGATCCAAAAGGCTAGAGAGAGAAAGAAGAAGAGATTAGAAACCCAAAAAAAATCCCAACCATCCTCGTTGTTGTTGTTGTGCTCAATCAAAATCGGAAAGAAAAAAAAATGAAGAAGAAGATGAGGGGATAATTGAAGAGAAAGATAAGGAAAAGAGGGACGATGATGAAAAAAATGAAAGAGAAAAAAAACCGTTTCTTATTTTTTTCAAGCCAACAAACCTCCAAGCAAAATATGGAACCATTTTTTTTCTTTATCATTTCTTCTGGGTTAGATTAGCTCAGAAGATAAAGGTAAAGAAAACATAAAAATGAAGAGAAGATGAGGGCTTTCTGAAGAAAGAAAAAGAAAGAGATGATGATTGAGAGAGGCGATTGACGGAGAGAGAGAGGAAAGAAAGTTCTTCTGAAGCATCGAGCCCAATGCGAGAGTCAAATCTCACCAAAAACTCTGATAACAGGTCAATCTGTCCACTGGGTTTCTTCCCCCCAACAAAAGAAAGAGAACACATTAGTGGATGACCAAAGTTGACGCCTAAGCCACATTACCAACACACCCTTGTTAAAACAACAAACCTGTATAGATAGAAGGACGTAAATAGGTGAAGGCCAGAGGGCTACAACCGTAATATTAACTAATCTCCTAGTCCAACGATCCATTACCAAACAACAACTCTACTGTTTGTGACCAAACAAAGAAGCAACCCGGCACCACCAACGTCTGACAAGATCCATATCATCAGCAGCCAACCAATCACCCGGCGACACACCCGAGGACGACCATGCCGACGTCTGCTACGTTTTGAAAGACACAAAAAAGGAAGAAGGAACAGACGACGTCGTTTGGTTTATCGGGAGAAAGAAGAAGAAAAGCCCTCAAACAAATACAAGAGGGAGGACAACCAAGTGCCATATCACCTCCAGCAATTTCCAGTTGCCACATGGGCGGACGACCATCCCAGGTAGTTTAGAAAAAAAAAAAAAAAAACCTACCTGGCAGCACCACCGGCCAATCCTCAGTTGCCACATTGGCGGACGACCATCCTACGAGGCAGGGAGCTTCCCCTCTTTATCTATATGTTTAATTAATAAGCTTTCTCGTTATTAGTAAAAAGTGACAGTTAATGAAAAAAAAAATTTAAAGTGTTATCGTGAACCAATAGTCTATATTTTACATACAAATCAAAACCTGATAAAGTTTGCTATTTCAACGTTTTTTTTTTTTTTTTGTTTTTGGTCCCAAAACATACTATCAATCTTTGGTTGTCAAACATGCAAATTTGCTTCGTATTACTAAAGACTAACCTTCAGGCCAAAAAAGGAAAAATGAGGAGCAGAAGTACACATTTTTTTCCCACTTAGCAGCAAGTTCCCCCCTTAGATTAGTTATCCCACATCGGTTCTAGGAGGGGTTTGGATTGGGTAGTTAAGTCCCTGGATTGGTTTCAAGAATTGCCGACTTTTGGAGTTCAATTTGAGATTAGATTTAATTAATCAACGAAAAAAAATCTAATACTGGAGTTGACAAAAGTACACATTTTTTTCAGGTGCTCTTGTTATGCTGTTATTAGTCACATCAATGACTTAGTCAACTCTAACTGTATACTTGTAGAGCTCAACAAGACCTGATAAAATGAGTAAAAAATAACATGGATGATAAAATCCTTCCCAGACAATACCTACATTCTATTTCCCTAATTTTTTTCAATTACTTTGAATTGACTGCTAAAATATTTGAAATGGCACATGGTTTTTTTTTTTTTTTGTTTTGGCAAATCTCCACTACATGACGAATAATAAAACAACTCCCTTACAAAAGAAGTACGGATATAAGTAAAACCTTGCCTATCTAATTATAAAATACCCCTATATTGACTCGATAAATCTGCAACGTTATTAAAAATGAAGCATGAAAAACCTTGCAAAGAGGGCAAAAAATCCGTAGTAGAATTAATTTCTCGATAAACATGGAAAACCTTAGCTGAAAGTCGGCCCAAAAGTGATAAAATCCTCCCAATAGTTATACACAAAGGCCACCTCACCATTTTAAAATTTTGAAAAATAAGCACTAAACCTTGAGAATCCACTCCAACAAGCAATGGAAAAATCCTGCGCAGTAGACATTCTTGCAAACCAAAAAATTGAGCCCGAGTTTCAGGAGATAAAACATTTCATTCACCAAACTCCTTATAAAAAGCAAACGCAAATTCTCTATTAATTCCATGAACAATACCACCCCCTAAAGCTATCCCCTCTCTAAGACTCACATCCGTATTCAATTTCCAAAATCCAGCCGGCGGAGACTGCCATTGAAGTGAAATACAACAGCTTTTTAGGTGAGGCTCAACACGAAACCATGAAGCTAACAATGTCTGCCCATCCACATCAATTTGACTGGCATCAATAAATGTAGACGCTCCCCCAACACAGAAAAGAACCGATTAATATTAAATACAATCTATGGGACAAAAAAGGCTAATTCCTGATATCCACATTCATTCTCGACAATCCACAAAAACCAAAGAATGACAATTGGAATCAAACAACATACATGATCTGATTTACCAGGTTTCAATGAAAAACACCAATACCTAAAGAGCCGATGAAATACAAGTAACCCCATAGAACTCCATCCCAACTAACCTTGAATAATGCTGCCATCCTTGAAGAACCAACTCACCTTCAAAGAATATATGTCTTAAAGTTTCACAAGATTCGCAAGAGCCACATTTAGAGACCAAATAAAATCCTCTAGATGCTAACACATCATCCGTGGGCAAAACCTTATGAAAAACTCTCCAAGCCAAAAAGGACATCTTCAAAGGGTTTAATGGGTTCCAAATAATCTCGGAAACCATGGATACACTCCTTCTCATCCTTACAGCATCATAAGCCGAGGAAAATGAGAAATTCCCATCATCTGATAAATTCCAAACAAGCTGATCATTCTCAGACAACTTCGGCAGAATGTCTTATACTGCAGCAACTAGAATCGGAGGTAGCCATTCCCTTAAGCGAGTCAAATTCCATGAAGCATCTAGAAGAATAAATTCAGCAACCCTAAAGAAAAAGGGTTATCCAACCCACATAAATATTGTAGCGGCTCTTCAGATACCCATTTGTCTCTCCAAAAATCAATCATGCCTTGACCAATATTCCAAAAAATAGGCTTCTCAGCTCTAATCTGAGTACAAAGCAACCTGCATCAAACTGGAGATCCTACAGTTGAAAAATTAGACATTGGATGAGCATGTTTAATGTATTTATGATGCATAAAGCCAGCCCACAACGAATCATTTGCACACAATTTCCACCATAATTTCATTGCAAATGCTTCTGACACAACATCCAGAGCTTTAAAATTTAAACCACCTTCTTCTAAAGGAAAACAAAGAGCCTCCCATGAATGCCAATGCAATCGACGCTCACCCCGACAATCACATAGAAAATGATTAAATCACCAACCTATATGCTGAAGAACAGACTTAGGGGCTGCACAACTTGTAACAAATATTAAAGCAGTGAATTTCAAACATGCCGTAACAAAATAATTTTATCCCCAAGGGATAGGAACTTCGTACTCCAACCCAAAATCCTTGCACGAATTTGACAAAAAAGACCATCAAATAACACCCTTTTGTTACGTTCATTGGACAAAGGAGCCCCAATATATTTTATAGGAAGCTTTGGCCTCTTAAATTGAAATATACCTTCACCAAACTACACTGAGTTGCTATAGCATGCTTAGAACAAAGATACGAGCTCTTCTCAACATTACTCGACTCAAAACACACTGATAAAAACTCAACAAATCCCAAATTCCCTAAGACAATGCCTAGACACCTTTGTAAAATTAACCAGATCATCAGCAAATGTCAGGTAAGGAATCCTACCACCCAAGTAGTGAAAAACCAATTATTTGAATCAAGCACCTCATAAAGACCCCAACCCAAATATTCTACAACCAAATGAAAAGGGTTAGAGACAAGTAATCTACTTGATGAATCCATATAGGATTTCAAATATCCCATCTACTTCCCATTAACTATCACAGAAATCAACTATTAGAAAAGGTTCCGAAGAACAAATCAACAACTTTTTCAAAAAATAGAAAGCCCTCGACATCTGAAGTAAAAACTCCAATTAACTCTATCGTATGCCTTCTCCATGTCCAATTTAATAATAAGATTAGGCTCCCTCAAATTTTTATCCAATTTTGAAACAAGCTCCTGAGCCAGCAAAATATTATCAAAGATATTTCTACTCGGAACAAACCTAGACTGGTATGGAGATATTAGATCATGCAAAATACAATTAATCCGAAATGCAAGAATTTTGGACATGAGTTCAGAGTTGACATTACATAAACTTATGGGCCATAAATCTTTCCACTCTACAGCCCCTTGCTTCTTGGGAATTAACACTATAGCCATATTGTAAATCCACGTGGCTGCTCCATTCCTTTAAAAAACTCCTCGACAAAAATAAAAGATCTTGCTTGATAATAGAATAGTAGTGCTGATAAAAAGTGACCGAAAAACTATCAAGCCCTACAATAGAATCTCTATCCATCTCAAACACATCCTTGTGAACCTCCTCCTCCATATGTAAAGCAGATAATAGCTCATTCGACACATTTTGTACCTTCAAAAACTGAAAAGGAATCTAGTCAATCCACTCCACCTCTGGATCATACCCGAATAGTTGGGAAAAATACTAGACAGCAGAATCCTTAATTGCTGAAGCATCTTCCAACCATGCATTACCTTGACGAATATGAGCAATATAGTTCTGACTCCTTTTCTGTTCACCTTTACATGAAAAAATGCAGTATTAGCATCTCCAACCTACAACCATTTAACTGAAGACTTTTGCCGCCAAAACTCAGTCTCAATAGCCAATTCCCTAGAATGCCTAGGCATCACTTCATTAAGCTCAATCTTAGATTCAATGGATTGTGAATTATCATACACCAACTGAGCCAGCAACATTGCATCTTGCGCTTGATGCATATTCTGATTAATATTACCAAACTCATTATAATTCCATTGCTTAAGACACTTCCTTGATCTCATCAATTTCTGAAAAAATGCTTGCATACCCACTGCTTGCATCGGCTATTCCCAAGAGTCTTTAACTACATCTAAAAAATTCCTATGCCTCGTCCAAACATTTAAAAAATGAAAACAACTCCTAGGCCGCAAACCTTCATTACATTTAATTAATAAAAGGCAATGATCAGAACAGCCTCTAGCCAAATGTGATACATGAGAAGATGTAAAAACTGCATCCACACGCATTAACTAACACTCAATCAAGACGCTGCCAAAGATGGCCATTCGTCCAAGTATAAACTGACACATCAAAATCTAAAGTAACCAAACTAGCACCTCGAATGGCATTATTAAATTCCTCTATCTCACCTAACCTTGGTCTAGAACCTCCCAAACGTTCATCGACTGAAGCCAGCATATTCAAATCCCCTGCCGCCATCCAAGACCCGTGAACCAATTCTGCTATAGACTCCAAGGCAGCCTATAACAACCTCCTACCAACCCTTGAGTACTTAGCATACACAGTAGACAAAAACACCGCCTCAGCTGAACCCAAAGATATGGAAATATGAATTAACTGATTGGCCAAAGTAACAAAAGAATAATCAAAATCTACAGACTGAAAAACCCATATTTTTCCACCAATGAACAATCTACCATAATCAAACCCGAGTAGCAATTGATCCCTTTGCAAATGTTGATCATTCGTGATAGGTTCAATCACAACCAATAATTGAATTCGATTATAAATACACAATTCCTTCAAATAATGTGCAAAATCAACTTGAGATATACATCTTATATTCCATACCAAAAAATTGACTGGTAGCGACATTAAATATTAGAAAAATAAGCCTTTACTCCTTGAGATGACGAACCTTTAGGTGGTCGACCATGCTTTTTTTTTCCCTTCACTTGTTCTAATGCCACACTGGTATCCTGCATTAACTACTCCTCAAACTTAGACGAAGTCTTAGCGAAGGATGGATTCAACTGCGGCATCTCCAGTCTCTTTAGCAATTGTTGAGATAAGAGCAACAGATCATCCCTATAAACTTCAATAGCCACGATGTTGCTACCCAAATTACACCATCTCAAGGACTTAGAAACCTGTCTAGCCAGTTTATCCCTCATGAGGAAGAGGTGGGGGAACGGAGGGGAAGGAAGGGAGGAGAGGTGGAAGGAGAGAAAAGGAGGAGGGAGAGGGAGGAGGAGGAAGGACGGGAAGAAGGGAGGAGGGGAGAGGGGTGGGGGTGGCAGTGGCAATGGAGGTGGAAGAGGGAAGAGGGAAGAGGGAAGAGGGAAGAGGAGAGGGTGGTGGGTGGTAACTTTTTTTTTAGTTTAAAAATATACCTCAATAAAATTTTTAATTTTAAAAACACCCTAACAAACAACCATAGTGAAAGCACCTTCAACATATCTAAACCATACGAAGTGTCTATTTTCACATATTTCGCCTTAAAATTCAAAATATTCTTAAATTCCCTATGAATAATAAATTAAAGTATTTTAGACAAACAAAAAAAGACAGCACTTGACTAACAAAAATATGTAGAATTTTTTATTCAAAATGTATTACGTAGTCAAATATGCTAGTCAGAAACTTAGATAAATACCAAATTTAACTAACGTGAATTTATTAGGGACATAAAATTATATTTTTAAAAGTAAGAGATAACAAATTTATTTTATAAAAAATATGAGAAACTTTTTAAACGATTTTTCCTATACTTTTTTCTTTATGCCTCTTTCTTCTTCAAAGATTTTTTAATAGCTTCCAAGATTTTTATTAAACACTAACGATTTGTTTATGTTTTGTTTTCCTAAACAAATTATATTAATATTATTGTTCCTCCACAAATCATTGAGTTTGCATTTTGGTTTGAAGTACTTGATTCTGAGTTGAGTCGAAAGGTCACAGTTCAACTCTTATATGTTATGAGTAGGGATGGCAATGGGACGGGGGTAGGGCGGGGAAATAACTCCCCTATCCCCCGTCCCATTGTCAAATAACTCCCCCCGCCCCTTGCCCCCCACCTCCCACCCCGTTTGCCCCGCGGTCTCCCGCAGGGAAAAAAAATCAAATCTTAAGAAATAGATTAAAGTACATAGATTCAGGGCATAACAAGAATAACACAGCAAGCTTAAAGTTAGGAAACAGATTTATCCTCGCATTAGGAATTGCCACAGTAGTTCTGGTCTATCCCAGCATTTAAATCAAATCAAATCAATAATTTCCTGCACAAGACAGAACCCATTTTCATAATTATACTCTAGTTCCAAGCTAACAAACACCCCTTTTTTTTTAGTTCATAGCAAAGAACCCAACCCAACAAACCCTTTGCATAGAATACCGAAACAAAAGCAGGAAGATTCTAACCTCCAAGCAAAAAAGAAAGAAAAAAAATTTAATCTTACCTGGTTGAGGAAAACTAAAAGCTGATAAGCTAAAGAAGTGGCGGCAACTCCTGAGTCAGGGTAAGTGATTATCCCTAGCTTGCAATTGCTCGGACCATTAAAAATAAAAAATAAAAACCAAGGCCGCTCATCATCTTTATGGCCTAGCCGTGCGTGCCACAGAACGCAAGACGGCTGACTCTGCTTCGCGTACTGGGGTGCATGTATGAAGAACGCAAAAAAAAGAGGGTGGAAGGTCCGGCCTATGCGGCAACCGGCAGATAACGTGAAGGTGCAGCTCTAAGAAATTTAGGGTTGTATTTTGTGTGTGTGTCTATATATATATATATATATATATATATATATATATATATATATATATATATATATTTTTTTTTTTTTTTTTTTTTTTTTGTATTTTTTTTTTTTTTGTTTTTTTTTTTTTGCGGGGATGGGACGGGTGTATGCTGCTCCATCTCCCGTCCCGTTTTAAGATGGGGGTGTATTTTGCCTCCACCTCTGCCCCCGCCCTGCCCCATTCCCCGCCCTATTGGTATCCCCGCGGGTACCCGCACCCGTTGTCATCCCTAGTTATGAGTCATTAGTTAGAATAGTATTTGAGGGATGCTAAATCTTGTGGTAGAAATAAAAAAGCATAGCCTAAGCAAATATCAAGAAATGTATAAAACAATAAACTTGGCTACAAACTCAAATCAATATAAGCAATTATTAACTACAAATTACAATTCAACATGATTTATAATGCAACAAACACAAAATCAATTCACAAATCAATCAACTTATTAGCAAGGCAAACAACTATAGAAGATAAGCATGCTATAAATGCAGCAATTGCAGTAGTTTTTAAGTTACATGAAAGTAAGGATTGGATGGATTTGCCAAACAATTCAAATGCAATACAAACCACGTTAAAAATGAAGCAATTGCAGTAGTATTTTTACTAATCTTATTCCAAACACCCGTTGCAAAACTTCTCCTCACAATTGCTCCAACCCTTTTCCAAGAAACCAGACCATTTAAATTATACACAGTAACCAAATCCTTTGTGGACTTTCTTCATTTAGAGTAAGGACTCTTTCCACTAAAAAATCTTACTAGTTAAACATTCAACGTAGCAGCAATTTGAATCCAATATGAACTGGAAATTTTTCTCACAAAAGTAAACCAAATCTGGAATGAAGACAAAGCAAACCACACTATCAAAATTAAAAAAAAAAAAAAGGAAAACTCACCTCAAACTGAACCACCAAGAATAGTTGTGTTGGAGAACCATTCTCAAACTCAAGGGACAATAGCAATACAAATAACCATTGAACGGAAGGCAAAATGAACAAAACAAAAGAATTTGAAGTAGAGGACATTCGAAGTGGTGAAGGTGAGAGATGCTTAGATATAAATTTCTTTCTTAATCACGTTCTCCTCACCTTAATTGCGATAAAAAAACGGGCAGTTGGATGTCCATCAAAGATGACGTTATGTTTCTTGAATGTAATAATTGACACTTACACTACTAATCAATGTCTCCTAAAGGACATTCAAGTAATTCCACCGACACATAAACTAGTAGAGGTTGTACCCGCTACACAAAAGATGACCAAATAATTTCATATTTCTAAAAAACCAAACCTTCAACAAAAAGATAGGCCTGTCAACGGGTCGGGTCTAGACCCGGATCCGGACCGGATCCGTGAAATTATTGCGGGTATGGGTAGGGATTTAATTCCGTTTTCCGGATCCGGATCCGGATCCGTTTTGTCAAACAAAAAACGGGTCGGATACGGAATATAGTATTCCGGCCCGTATTAGACCCGGATCCGGATATAAATGAATTAATAATTTTAAATATGTATATTTATCAATATAATTTGATTAGAGTGATGTATTTTAATAAAGTTAATTTGATTTCTTTTCTTATTTGGTTTTTTCTTTGCATTAGTTAAAAATTAGTTTACAAATATATATTTTTTCATTTTTATTAGAAATTATAAATTTTGCTAAATTTGTTCGGGTAGACCCGAATCCGGATCCGGGACCCGCCGGACCCGCCGGATCCGGATCCGGAACATAGGATAAAAGACCCGTCGGGTAAACGGGTCGGGTCCGGGTCCGGCATAGTAATTCGGGTCCAGGTCCGGAATAATGAATTCCGGCCCGAACCCGGCCCGTTGACAGCCCTACAAAAAGACCACTCCATCTGGAAAAATATAAGGCCACTTCTATAAATATAGTAAAACACACGCTGCATTAAATAGTACCCAACACTATAACTTCACTCCAAATAATCTCGTATTTTCAAGATGCCCCATCCATGTGATTGAAATTTAAAGACGATTTTTGTCCTAAACTATTCAGTATAAGGATACAGCTTGCTCTGCACCCATAAAAAGTACTTATAGTACTCATCTACATAATTCTTATCCCCAACTAACCCACAAATCTAACTTCTCCACTATTTTCTCAACGTAAAAGTAAGCACGTGGAGTTTTCATACTGTAATAAACAGGTTTGATAAATAAAATGAAATTGCAAAATAAAGTTCCCATCTAAAAGCTTGGTGTGCACACCCACCAACAACCCCATGAAGACATGGCCACCAACGCAACTTCGCCCACTGAACACTCTATCCACCTAATTGTTAAGGAATTGAAAACAATTTTAGTTAAATCAAAACCTAAAGACTAATATGAGATTAAGACCCCTAGCAGTCAATGGTTTTTCTACTAATGTTTTGCAATTCTAAATTTTGCCTTTTTAACACTACAAGCAATTTGCTTAGCATGAATCTTTCAACCATTTTTCTAATTTAGTTTATCTTTTAAATGTTTTCAGCAAAATTCTCACAGCTTTAGAGAAATTTTGAGCTCATAAGATGTGTGATGTGTATTCTTAATTTGTTTTTCTAAATATATAAGAATTAAAATTATCATATTATTAACGTTTCCTATAAAAATTTCTTATCTTTCAACATTTATGTATAACCCCACCAGAGGTTTTTGGTTGTTTGCCAAATATTGTACCAAATTCATGGATCAATTGATCTTCCTTTTTTTTTAGTTTCTTTTGTAGGATACATATCTATTACATTGAAATGATGAAATTATCTGTACAATCTATGATCTCTGACTCTCTTATCTAACTTGATTGGTTTCATTAGTTTATAATTGTTTAAAGACACTTAATGTAGTGAAAATTATTAAAAAGAACAAGGAATTAATGAATTAAAAAAATTAACAAATAATTGAAAGAATATTGTTATGGCAAATTGTTATTGCATGAAATGATAATTCTAGAATTGTAAATAGTTATAAGTGAAAGACATTAAGCGATAGGAACTTTTTTGTCATATTCGTGGTTAAGGCGTGGATTTAAGATGGGAGCGTGTGGGTTTAGCTCCTCCCTTTTAGTTTTTGAAATGGAGTTATTCCTTCAAGAAACTTTGAGACAGTCTCATTGTTCTCTTAAATGTAGCCCTAAAATCAAGCCAAACTGATGCAACGGAGAGGGATGGAATAGAAAGGTGATAATGGGTGAAGGACATAGATGAGAGGAGAGAGGAGCTGTTTTGGTTCTCCTATGACAAGAAGGCTGGTAGGGAGGTGACGAAACTTTTCCTTGTTCCAAATTTTAAAAACTTAAATATTCTATTTTTTCACAAATATATAAATTGTTTATCGAGCGTAAGAGATATTAGGTATTAATTCCAAAAAGAAAGACGATCAACTACCGATGCTATTTGAACTTTTTTATTTTTTAAACTATCACAAATACAATAAATTAAATCTACACTACAAACATGATAAAAGTAATAAAAAAAATAATAAAAAGTTGCTCGGGCCATGAAATTCCTAATTGCTCTTACAAAAGAAATGACTAATTAATTGAATGTTGTTATTTTAACTAGTTTCAAATATACGCACAACATACTTTTAAAGTGAATCAACTACACTTATAACTAAGTCATACCTATAAAATTAACTATAGATACATTTGAACTATGAAATTACATGAAATAAATAATTGAAAACACCATAAATATGTCTATCAAATAATGTATTTGCATATTACACCCCTGAATTAGAGTCCTGACTCCGCCACTGTGCATACATACAGTTGAAAATAATACCTACCTTTAACGTCACTAGTTGCTTGGGGAACGGCTCGACCTTTTTTTCATGGGCTGGGATCATTTTGTTTGATCAGTTCATGGAATTTTATATGCCACCCAGCTAAACCTATAGGATGGGGGCCATAGTGGGGCAAAAAGGGGGTCAATCTCATCATAATTCAATCCTCAATTTTCTACTAAAACCCTTCTTTTGTCATGACAACAAAATTTATTATCTAATTAAATAGCCAGTAATTAATCCAAAATCAGATTGTCTATTAGCTGAAAGTATTAAGAATTTAAGTTGTTGGGCTGCCTTTAGTCCCAATAGTATTTATTGGAAATTTTTAGCTTGAGCAGTAGTTCAGTAGACTATATCTTAAGTCTATCATAGAATTTTTTCAGAAACATGAGATGTTTAAACTATAGAGATACCTATTTTTTTTTTTTTTTTTGGATTTTTCTACAAACAGGGCAGGGAGAAAAGAAAAAATCATTTGCCCTTATTGCTAGGCCACACCCGGTGTTTGGTACCTTTCAAATTTCCAACTCCAAAAATATAATATTATTAATAAAAATGCTCATCATCCTCAAAGCCCCTTTGAGCCACTGGGCCAATGGCTCAGTGGCCACCAGAGAAGTCCCTCCTTGGACTGTTGGTGAGGGTTCAAACCTCATCAGCAGCGACAAAAAATCTAAGAGTTGTGTTATAGTACTCCCTTGGTCTAGTTAGATTTGTATACCCACTAGTCCCTATAACAGACTCCTTAGGCTCCTCCTCCCCCTAGATTAGGATAGAGTAGGTTATACAAATGTATCGGGTAACCAATTACTAAAACCCAGCTCTCTTTTTTTTGGTTTGGTCATTCTATACAGGATTTCATCTGATCTAATTTAAATTCAGCTATTGATTTAATCAATTGAGGTCCTATATTTATGTGTACGGAATATTAGCTAGTTGATTATGCCCAAATAATTGACAGCAAATTCTATCACATAATCATCTACTTCAAATTTGTGTTTGTTAGCTACACTACTTTGCATGAAAGATAGGGCCCAGCTGCTCAAACGTGAAACTGGGAAATTAGAAGTTAAAATCACGATTGGATTGTTATTTTTAAAATTTTTATAAAAAAAATATGCAGTAACGATTTAATATAAAAAAATATATTAAAAAAAACATAATAAAATTTTAATAAAAAATTGCAATCCAAACACCACTGAACAAACAATATGCCACGATATATATATCTACGGGCAATTTGCAGGCAAACGTCCATGAAAAATTCCCATTCAATGGGACCAAGTGAGTAGCTAGGAGCCTAGCTATGACTAAGAGTTAAAAGTTATGTTGACGGCCTGTAGGAAAAAGTTGCACTTCGAAAAGTGTGATTTCCCTGAAATAGGCTACTTAAGTTATAGAAATTCTATCGTGTCGATAAAAAAATTCTATCGTGTCGATAAAAAAAGAAAAGTGTGATTCCATGAAATTTCTAGTATAAGTTTTGCGGAGTGTAGAGGTGAATTACTTCTGGGACTTGAGCCATCTCTTGCAGCGAAGCAGTGGATAAGAGAATGAGTAGAAACCAGTAGATGCATCTCCTCCTATCTTCGTTCTTTGGGGAAAAAATCCAAAAATGAAAAGCAAAAAAAAAAAAAAAAAGGCTAGAGTTTTCATGCTAGTATTGATAGTCCTGCTTTCTATTTTCAACTCATTGTTTTCGTGGCACAGCCAATGGAAGCTTTAACTGATTAATGTAGCTTTGCAGCAACTTATTTGCTTGAAAAACAAATTGAAAGTTGGATAAAGCTGTTACGAAGAAAGCTGTATTTCTCCTCACAAACAACTCACTAAAATGTAGCAGTGCATAAAAGCGAGTTCATATAACAAAAACACACTATGACACAGTAATTTGATGTGAGAGGGAGAAAAGCACATTATGGTAATTTTCTTTTCCTACAAGACAGTTGTAAATGGAGTAAAATGTTAACTCAACAGCATTATGACACAAAACCATACCCCAAAAAAAAAAAAAAAAAAAGACAAAACCCAGAGGATCACTTGAAGGTGAGGGCTGATCAACTGCTCCATTCACTGCAAAACAAGTATGAATGTATGATTTAGGAAAAATAGGAGTAACAACAACTAAAAAAGTCTTGAGAAAAAATAGAGAATAAAGAAAGAGTTAAGTGAAAAATTGATATGCATACAATCACGTCTAAGGGAATACTTAAGCGAGACTTTGGCAAGAGTATCCTATGTTTCTTCTGCCCAGATATAAAATTGAATTGGTCTACATATAAAAAATTATACATATAACATGCACGCATATCAAATTATGTCAGAAATCCAATAACTTTACAAGTGAAAAAAAATATCCTAACTCTATCTGGCCCTAATCCACTTAGGGCTAGGAACTAGGGATGACGAATAAAAAAAATAGTCTTGATTGAATTAACACGTGCTCTTATGGTTGGTTTTGGCATCAATAAGACTTGAAGGCAACATGATCATTCTTTATCATCAAATTCTAAACAGATTTTAAGAATATTCCAAGATATTTGATTAAATAAGGATGGTAATCTAAAACAATTACATGGGATGGGAAGCACAAATAGTTTAAACAGTTGGAAGGCATTTTTTAAGCCATGCAACATTGTTGATGAGTACATTATATGACGATAACACATACTTATCCATTAAATTTAATTTGTTAGAGATAATGTAAACTCATTGCCAAAGATGAGGAAATAAACAAAATCTTTTGATTTTGCCTTTACAAGATGGTAGGCAAAGCATTCAAATATAAACTTACTACCTCTTCACCACATTCCTTAATTAGTCAAGGAGCAAGAATTGTACTGGATGATGTCGTAGATAAAGAAAAATAAATATTTGGAAGCTAACACTGTAAAGAATCTCACACAGCAAGTAGTATGATCCCGTTTCTTTCAAAGAGGAGAAAAGAGATAAAAATAGACGATGGTCATTAAAAACTCAAAAGAAAATATTGAATCATGTTGTTGAAGCTTATCAAACCTGTGATTGGAATTAGATGCTAAGAAAAAGGGAATTCCAAGAACGGTAAATTGAAAATTAAAAGGAGAAAAATTGGAGGAGGAAAAAGTAAAAAGCGAGAAAGAGTACCTGCGGATATTGATTGAAGGCACATGGCTTATTTTATGATAATCTTGTCCTTGTTTACCATTCACTATCCTAACTCTATTGTTGAATTCTTCAGGCATTCCCGCAAGAGAAACCTCTTTTAGGGTAGTTACATATCTCAACCCATCTGGAATCATTTCCAACTTTTCACAATACTCAATCCGTAAACTTGAGAGCTTAGGTATGGCCCCTTCATCTACTTTCCACTGCTTTAAGTCACCCAAATCTTCAAGCCAGAGATGTTTTAGTTGGGGAAATCCCATTGAGTGGCAAATCATTTCTTGTCCCAGAAAAGATTCTAAGTGAAGTCCCAGTCTTCGTAGGTTAGGAAGCTTCTCAAGTGTTCCCATTGGATCTTCCTCAATCTGAGTATTGAACAGCTTTAATTGAGTGAGTCCTGCAGGATCAGGAAACATATGGGATTGGTAGTCTGGCAACTTCTTGCACAAAATACCCATGATCTCTAATTCATGAATATTCCTACTAAACAACACCCCTAAAAGAACATTCAAGCCCCTGTTGTTGTTGTTCGAGTTGTTGGAGTCTATCCAGGCCAAATTACAGCCAATGATTTTAAGTGAGCTAATGCGCATGCAGTCCAAGTCTGATATATGATTCACGATCTGTTCCAAGTCCTCAAGATTGTAATACACTCTTGCTTTGAAAGCTCTGAGATTTGATAATTTGCATATGTCTTTAGGATAGCAAAATTCATTATCGAATGCGTCAAGTATCTCCAGATGCTTGTTCAACCGCAGCTTAGGTTGAAAGTTCTTGAAGTTTGGAAGATAAAGGTATCTTAAACGCCCCAATTTCCATAGCACATTCGGTATTCTGCAATTAAAACTTTCAGATAAATCTAGAGTTTCCAAGTACTTTAAATTGCCCAAGGATGATGGCAAGTTTAAATCAGCACACCTCAATTTCAAACATCTCAAATGGATAAGACTACCAACATATCCCAGCGGTGATTTGAGAAAACAATCTTGAGAAGCCATATCGGAGAATAAAATTGACAATACTCTAAGCATCTTCAAATTGTTGACTTGGGACATCATTCCCACCCCTGAAAAATATTGCCATTCGTCTTCCAACGGATCACACAGGAATGAGCGAAGATGCTTAGTTTGTTCTTTTGGTGGAAAGTTGTACTCAGAGATATCCTGTGGAATCAAACGAAGGACTAAACCATATTGTGCTTCAATTACAGGAGGCGAATCTAGTGAAGCACTTTGATCGACCACGTTATACAAATTCTCCTCTTTTGCCTTGATCAAGCATAGATCTCTCATAAGATCATGAAGCCGGCATGACTTCAACCTTGTTACTGCATGCTTCCCTTCATGCACTTTAATCTCAACCATGCATCTTTTGGCCAATTCTTCCAAGTAGTGCTCTGCAACTTCCATCATTGATTCTTGCCCCATTCTATCTTTCTCAAATATCATGCCTTCTCCTATCCACATCTGATACAAACTCTCTGCAGCAATGTCAGAATCTTCCCTAAATTTACCCAAGTAAAGGAAGCATGGTTTTAGTTGCCAAGGGAGGTCATAGTAACTATAAGCTAAAATCTTTGGCACCTCTCCTTCTTTTCCAATTTTTTCTCCCCTAGCCAGATAAGATTTGATATTCTCATGCACCACATTCCATTCTCTGAGGCTTTTTTTAGTTCTAAGAATTCCACCAAGGACCACCACGGCCAATGGAAGACCCCCACAGTTTTTCAACATTTTCTTTCCTAACTCTTCCATCTTGGCCAAATCTGCACAACCTGTGCAGCATTGAACAAAACTAATTCAATATCAACAATGACGCATCTGTCATTCATTTCTCATATAATCCATGGTTCAATCACAGTAGATCTTCCATAATGAGAAATAAGCATCATGGTTACCAGTCAACAACTATACGCAAACCTTAACGGACTGTTAATCGAACAAGTCTCCCAACGTAAAGACTTGAGACCTATCAATAGTCAAGGAAAAGGGCTATTCTAAGAGATCCTTTTTTTCTTAAATCTACTAGATTATATGGATCTGGGAAAAAAGAAAGATCAAGTAGTTTAACTAAATGGTAACAATGCAAAAGGAATTATGTTTCCATTGTAGTATTTCAATTGCTAAAAATTTCAGAAAGGCTATCATTAAAAATTGCCACTGGTATACACGAGACATGTTTTATATGTCTTGGTTAGCAATTCAAAGATGTCCTCAAAATTTTTTGTCATGCGGATGAAATTGTAGGACTATCATTTTTCGGCATATGCATGCATGCATGCATACATACATATATTTAATTTATTTATTTATTTAAATTTATACACCTTGGCATTTTGCGTAAAATGAATTTAATGTTAATAAAGCGGAAAAATTTTACCTTCACCAGTACTCTCCCTTAATGATTTCATTCGTAGCAACTCCCAACTTTCTTCCTCGGTCAAAAAACGGAGTTGAAGGTGATATCCATTTGGACCAATATATGCTGCCACGTCTCTGTTACGAGTTGTGAGCTGATAGGGTGTAATTTGTTAGTCATTTTATTATTAATTTCCCCTTTTATCCCTGATAAATATTGTGTTAATTGCTGTTATCTGCTCATATTTGGTATATGGACTTAATTTCAGGAGGAAGCAGCAAACTACCAAAAAAAAGAGGGACTTTATGAAGAATATGGAGACTTCTAAGGACTTCAATCCTTGGGCCTTTGGATTGGTGGGGACCGCAAAGCCATAAGTCATGTGGACTCTCCAAAGAAAGCTACGGAAGTGGACTTGGAAGAGGAAGTACTTGAGGAGGTTTTGTCCACATGTGTGGGGACCACCTAGATAGCTTTAGTCTATCTTTCTTTTGTCTCTTAAAGGGGGAACGTACAGGAAGCAAAAGGGGATTCCTAGTTTTAGTTTAGTTTTTAGCCTAGTCTTTAGTCTCTCTTTTTCTTTTCTCCGGACTGGCCTCTGACACACGCCAGGTGTTCGACAATATTCCCCAACGGGAAAAGCACCTTTTTTTCCCTGCTTCTTAATAGAAAACGCAATGCTTTTGCAATCTATTAATTCGTGTGGTGATTTAATTATGCGGCGTGGCTAAATCCTCCATCTAGTCAAGGGGACAACTGACGAATGGGTTCACCACTACTGTGAGATCTAAACCGCTTTTAATTGTTTCCTGCATTTATTGGTATTCATATGTTTCCTGCTTTTAACCGCTATAGCTCGTGTGAGTGATTAAATAGATGCGCAATATTTAATTATTCATATAGGCTATTTTGCTAAATAGAGGTAACTGAATCCGTAATTGTTCGTTATCTCTGTCTTTGTAGCAACTGGCGTAATTGGGTTTATGTCAGGGGAACATACGATCTAGCTTAAATAAATCCTCGTAGCGTGTTTATTGGTTAGGATTGGGCCTTTCTAATTATTACTGCAATCTAGAAATTAAATCTTACGGTCGTACCTAGGGTTATTTTTGGGTTAGAGAAATAGCTAACGGTCGTACCTTGGCTATCGAGAAATTAAGGAAGGGTTGGTTGTTTAGCGCGTGCGAGACAGCTATAACCAATCTATTAATAAAAGTTGGAATTATTTGTGAATCGATGATCAGTTGCGTGAACCATTTCTAAAGTGTACCCTTGGCTAGAGCTTCTCCAATTATTGTTTTTAATTAATTAGTTTCTGCATTTAATTTGTTCAGTTGGCTTTTGATACCAAAACCCCCCCCATTGATCTTGATTTGAAAAGAAACAAATATCTCTCCAGTCCCTGAGGAGACGACCCTGCTTATCACTGTCTACTAGTTAGGGAATTCAGTTAAATAATTAATTCAGGTATATCGGATTAAGCAAACTCTTCGGGAACAGGGTGAATCAAGTAACCCATTGCACACCTAGAGTCCCTGCTCCAGTACTCGAATTGATTACTGACTGTTTCAGGTGGTAGTTAGGATTCATTTATTATTATTGCACAGGTTCGGCACCTGTCAATTTTTGGCGCCGTTGCCGGGGACTTGGCGTTTGAATTATTTGCTTCTTTTCGAATTCAGTTTTTATTTTGTTTTATTTTAATTCTTCTTTTTCTTGGTATTTTTTGCTAGTTTATGCCCCGTTCTTTTCGCACAGGTGACTTGGTATACGATCCTGAAGTTGAGAAGGCAGCGCGTAGGCGACGGCAAGAGACCAAGAGACGAAAACAAGGGCACTTATTTTCTGAAAACGAGTCAGGAAGAGACGATTTTAGCATGGCCAACACCCAGACATTGAGGGAGCTGGCTACCCCGGAGCTGATTCATCAGCCCTTGTGCATCACGTTCCCAACTCTGGCTGAGAATACCTCCTTCGAGCTGAAATCGGGATTGATTCAACTCCTACCATCGTTCCATGGCCTTTCTGGTGAGGAACCCCACAAACATGTCAAGGAGTTCGAAGTAGTTTGCTCCAGCATGAAACCTCCTGCGGTCACTGAGGAGCAAATAAGACTTAGAGCTTTCCCATTCTCTCTCAAGGATGCAGCGAAGGATTGGTTATACTACCTACCTGCAGGTAGTATCACCACGTGGGCACAATTGAAGAAGAAATTCCTAGAAAAATTTTTCCCTGCATCCCGGGCTGATAGTTTGAGAAAGGAGATTTGCAGCATCAAGCAGTACTCCGGGGAGTCCTTGTATGACTATTGGGAAAGGTTCAACAGGTTGTGCAAGAGATGCCCACAGCATCAAATTAGTGAACAACTGCTGATTCAGTATTTCTATGAAGGACTCCAGTCAACTGACAGGAGTATTATTGACGCTGCGAGTGGAGGAGCCCTGGCGAACAAGACACCGAGGGAAGCGTGGGACCTTATTGAAGCCATGGCAGAAAATTCTCAGCAGTTCGGCTTCCGTGAGAGCAATCCTACCCGTAGAGTCAATGAGGCAGAGACGTCATCCGTCCAGCAGCAACTGTCAGAGTTGACGTCGGTCGTCAGGCAATTGGCCATGAGAGACACACCGCGAGCGAATGTGTGTGGAATCTGTACTAGCATGGACCACTGCACGGATTCGTGCCCCATTCTGCAAGAGGATGGGGCAGAACAGGTAAATATGGCCGGAGGCGTGCCCGCGCCCCGCAGGCAGTATGACCCGTATTCCAACACATACAACCCCGGTTGGAGAGACCATCCTAATCTCAGTTATGGGAACAGGCAACAAGGTTCATTCCCGAATCGTCCACCAGGATTCTACCAGCCTTGGCAACCAAAACCTCAAACCTCATCCTCCAATACAGGAAGCTCCTTGGAGGACCTAGTCAAGAACCTGGCCACGACTACTAACAACCTGGCCACGACTACTAACAACCTGGTCGCAACTACTACACAGCTTCAACAGGAGATCAGATCCTTGGCCGCGAAAACCGAGCAGCTCCAGCAGGACACCAAGGCTGACAAGAAGGACCAAGATGTTCGAATAAGTCAACTGGCAACTGCCATCAACCGCTTGGAATCTCACGTTTATGGGAAACTGCCATCGCAACCCGAGGTAAATCCCAGGAATGTAAGTGCCATGACGCTGAGGAGTGGCAAGGAGCTGGAAGGACCTAAAGTGAAGAATCCAAAAAGCAAAAGCGAGGAGGAGATAGAAAAGGAAATTGAGGAGGAAGGACGTATTCGTGAAGATCCTAAGGTAACCCCCACCTCTCCACTCACTATTAGCTCTAACTTACCCCCTTTTCCTTGCAGGTTGGAAAAGACAAGGAAAGTAGAGAAGGAAAAGGAACTTTTGGATGTATTCAGGAAAGTAGAGATTAACATCCCCCTACTGGATGCAATCAAGCAAATACCGAAATATGCCAAATTTCTGAAGGACCTGTGCACCCACAAGAGGAAGCTAAGGGGAGATGAACGAGTGGCGGTGGGAGAAAACGTGTCAGCTATACTCCAGAGGAAGCTCCCACCAAAATGTGGAGACCCAGGTATGTTTACCATTCCCTGCAAGATAGGAGGTACTCCAATTAGGAAAGCAATGTTGGATTTGGGGGCGTCAATTAATGTTATGCCTAAGACAATTTATGCATCTCTAAATCTTGGCCCGTTAAAAGGCACAGGCATCATAATTCAACTTGCAGACCGTACCAATGCTTACCCGGAAGGGTTAGTTGAAGATGTTTTGGTACAGGTCAATGAGTTAGTTTTTCCTGCAGATTTCTATGTCCTAGACATGGGGGATGAAAGGGCACTAAATCCGTCTCCTATTCTGTTAGGTAGGCCATTTTTAAGCACTGCTAGGACGAAAGTAGATGTAAATGAGGGTACCTTGTCGATGGAGTTTGATGGGGAAATTGTAAATTTTAATATTTTTGAAGCGATGAAGTACCCAGATGAAACTAACTCTGTTTATGCTTTAAGTGTTGTTGAGCCCCTTGTACAGGAAATATTTGAATTGAATGGGGTTGATGCACTGGCAGTGGCATTGGCCAAACATCTTGAGTTGGGAGCAACTCTTGATGTAGAAATAAATGATGAGTTATACCACGCTGTTGGAGCACTACATTCGCTCCCACCAATTTCCCCAAGGTATGAGCTTACTTCTGTTTTTGTACCAGAAACTCAGGCAAAATTGTTGCCTTCTATTGTGCAGGCGCCTGAGTTGGAGCTCAAACCTCTCCCAAAGCATTTGAAGTATGCTTTTCTCGGGGACAATGAGACACTGCCAGTCATCATATCTGCACACCTGTCCCCGGGGCAAGAAGATAGACTACTTCGTCTTCTCCGAGATCATAAGGAGGCAATTGGGTGGAGTGTAGCAGATATCAAAGGAATTAGCCCCTCCTTATGCATGCATCGGATCCGGCTTGAGGATGATGCGAAGCCAGTTAGACAAGGGCAACGGAGATTGAACCCACTAATGATGGAAGTGGTCAAGAAGGAGATACTTAAACTCCTAGAAGTAGGGATCATCTTCGCCATCTCAGATAGCCCCTGGGTGAGCCCGGTGCAAGTAGTCCCGAAAAAGGCGGGAGTAACAGTTGAAGAGAACCAAGAGGGTGAGATGGTCCCGGTGAGGAAACCCACAGGATGGCGCCAGTGCATTGACTATCGGCGTCTGAATGCTGTGACGAAGAAGGACCATTTCCCTCTGCCTTTTATTGATCAGATGATAGAAAGGTTAGCTGGCCGTGTCTATTATTGTTTTCTTGATGGTTTCTCTGGTTATTTTCAGATTGCAATAGCACCAGAGGATCAGGAGAAAACTACCTTCACCTGCCCCTTCGGTACATTTGCATATCGGAGGATGCCTTTCGGCCTCTGCAACGCCCCAGCAACTTTTCAGAGGTGTATGGTAAGTATATTCTCTGAGTATGTAGAAAAGATTATTGAGGTGTTTATGGATGATTTTAGTGTGTATGGGGATAGCTTTGATGAATGCCTTGATAATTTAG